AAGTATTATCAAAAAACCATTGAAAGACTTAGTTCAGCAAATGGTAGTAAAATGAATGTTAAATACAAACTATCAAGTGTACATATCTGTCAAGATAATGTATGTTTTAAAATATCATTTATCCTAGTACAAAATATGACTGATGATGTTATCCTTAGCTTACCATTTGTATACTTATTATATCCCTTTACAACAGATACAAATGGTATAACCACGAAACCACTTGATCAGTCAATAACATTTAAATTTACAACCAAACCAAAAGTTAAGAAATTAAGACAATTTAAAGATCATTCAATCTCTAAGTATCTTAATATTATTAACCAAAAAACTAAGCAAGCGAAATTTCTCAAAGAAGAAATTAATCACAAAAGAATTCAAGAACAGTTAACAAATCCAACCTTAATTGGAAAAATTAACCAGTTCAATGCTAAACTGGAAGAAGAAGTGTGTTTTAACCTTCGTACAACCTTCTGGCATAGGAAAAAACACATAGTAAAACGTTCATACATTAAAGGATTTAAAACTTCAATCCTCTCCGATCAACTCTAGTTTCTTCAAACTCATGTTCTTCTTCATTTACTATATTAGGTATAGTACTAAATAAATATCTAGATGAGCTAGCCACAGAATTAGATCTGAATAATCTACTCATTATTAAATCTAATTTTTTAATTTTATAAATTTATGTTTAAGTTTGACTCCATTGTACATACCCCCTAACATACATGTTCTCATGGTATGTCTCTGCATCCTAAGGCTACCTACACACGAGAACTTACAAACTGGACTAAATTGAGACTCGCCCCTCTTGAACTGACAAAGGTTGGGTGACAAAGGTAGACCAAACTAAACAATAATTTACTAAATTGAAATGAAAGAGATTTAATACATGTAAGACAATTCAAATATAACTGCATGGATGGCTATCCAGGCCGTCAAAATATAAACAAATGCATATAAACAAGTGCAGAAGACATGTGAGTACTAGAGAATCACAAGATGTAAATATAAGAGTGGAGGATTGGATTATTAAAATCTTGTTTAAATGAACAAGATACAAATTATAATAACAAAAATAAAATACTTACAACACTAGCACTAATGAGCTAATGGAAGTAAGGGATATATATATATTACGTTCGACTTGGTTTGCAGTAGACATCTAAGTTTGGCTTTAGCTTTGAGTTAAATCAGTTTTGGCTTGCACTTGTACTTTCAATCTTTTTTTTTTTTTTTGGTGTTAATTATACATTGCATAAACAGAGACTCGTTTTCTCCCCCCCCCCCCCCCCCTTTTTTTTAATTAACATGCCTCAACAGAGCTGGTCTCTTACAACTCTTGTTTGACTATTACTACTTTGACTTCTTTACTTAATGGGACAAACCTTTTTGTGTAGTTGTACCATATTTGTGTCTATTGCCATTATTTTGGTGACATCTTTGACACAAGTTTATTATTATTTTATTTTTTATTTTATTTTATTTTATGCTCAAAATCCTTTTTGTCACTACCTTACTTAATTTAACACTGGATTTTATTTTTTAAATTATTATTATTTTTTTTTTTGGTGATATTGGTTGGGTGATTTTGTAGACTTGTCCACTGATATCCTATTTTGAATAGCTGTTTTCTATGAAGAGTTTTTTTTTTTTTAAGAGGTTAATGTTAGTGGTAATTTGTTACAAGAATTTGATTAGGTGATAAAATTTTTAATATTATATATTGTTCGAATAGTACATATATTAATTGTTTTCTTTCCTAGTTGATGATCCCAATTGATCAAGTTACATGATTCCACCTTAAATTTGATGACAACAATTAGGAAGTCATTCCAATTTTGTTTTGTGTAACCTATTGCAAAATATTCATCTTTTTATTTTTTATTGTATAATTTTTTTTTAGAACTTGTGGTATTTTTTTTTATGGCAGATTTGTTTTAGATCGTTTGTACCCTCCTTTTTTATTTATTTGATTATAATTGCTGCTTTGTAAATTTGACATTCATGACAATAGAACCACATTGTTCCCTAACAACTATCCATAAAATTTTAATTTGTCATTACTCCTTTTTTTTTTTAATATATCTTGGCAATTTTTCACATAAGTCAACTCAAGTCAATCTAATAAAAAGGTTTGATTTGTGTGTGTATATGTATGTGTGTGTGTGCGTGTGTATATATATATATATATATTATCTTATTCTTAGTCATAACTTGTTTCTTAATTTTTTTTTGAAACAAGCCATGATTTCTTGACAATAATTCGTGTCTTGTAATTTGTTGGGATAATAACCTCTTCTTTTTTTTTCAAAAAAATTTAGTCTCGAATATCTTTATCCAAAAATTTGTGTTATGTTACCTTTGACCTAAGAATTTTATCTTACTAACTTGATTTTAGGTGATCTTTTTTTTTAAAATAATAATAATAATAAATGAATGAATAAATAAATTTTATTCCACAGGATTTTTCCTTTGGGTTAACTTTATTCGAAGAGTATTAATTTTAATTTAAATTAGCTTTTTCTTATTAATTTTTAGATGACATTCGCTCTAACAGTTTATAACTTTTGTGTTAATTATAAGTTGCTTATGTTACAAGAGTTTAATTTTATGTTTTTTATTATTATTAATTTTCTTTTGACCACTTTAAGTGATTTTTGTGTTGACTTAGGTGAGTTTTATGACAATTTTAGGTGACTTTCCATGACAACCCTAACTGACTTCTGTAACAATCCTAGGTGACTTCTGTAACAACTCAATGTGACTTCCGTAACAGCACCAGGTGACTTCTGTAATAGCCTTAGGTAAATTCTGTAAATGTGACTTCCGTAACACCACTAGGTGACTTCTGTAACAACCTTAGGTGACTTCTGTAACAAGCCTAAGTGACTTTTGTAACAGCCCAAGGTAACTTTTGTAACAGCCTTAGGTGACTTCTGTAACGGCCCAATGTGACTTCTGTAACAGCACTAGGTGACTTCTGTAACAGCCTTAGGTGACTTCTAGAACAGCCCAAGGTGACTTCTATAACAACTCAAGGTGATTTCTGTAACAGCCCAATGTGATTTCTGTAACAACCCTAGGTGACTTCTGTAATATCCCTTTGATGACTTCTATAACAGCTCAAGATGACTTTTGTAACAGCCCTAAGTGACTTTTATAACAGTCCAATGTGACTTTTGTAACAGCCCTAAGTGATTTCTGTAACAGCCCAAGGTGACTTCTGTAACAGCCTAAGGTGACTTCTGTAACAACCCTAGGTGATTTCTGTAACAACCCTAGGTGATTTCTATAATAGCCCTAGGTGATTTTTGTAACAGTTTTAGGTGATTTCTGTAACAGCCCAAGATGACTTATCTATTCTTGTATTGCTAATATTCTTGTATTGCCACTATTATTATTATTATTTTATTCTCACTTTATTTATAGCATCAAGGTTTATATATATTTTAAATTATTATTTGCCCCCTTTTTTTATTATTATTATTTTTCAAATGGCCTCATCTCAAAAAGCTAAATCGGGAAAAATTATCAAAATTTCAAGTCAAAGAAAAAACTTACCTTCCAATGAATGGATTACTGAGTCAGAAGATCCAATTCTGAAAGACAAAGTTTTGTGCTTTCCAACTGTTGTGGTAAAGAATTACAGAACCAACGAGCTGTCAACATTATCACTCAAAGTTCTTGAGCCCATGACTGGTCCCTGTAGCCGCTCGAGAATAATCTATGAACCTGAACTTCATATGCCGATGATTAGTGAACATCCTCTGCCAGAGAATATGCACAAAAGTGACATGGTTAAGTCAAATCGACTACCCTCACTTTGCGCGCCTTCGTATCATTCCAAAGATCATCTTATCCCAAAGCCACTTGTTGTTGATCTAATCAACCAGAGGACTGCGAGGTGGGGATGTTCATTGAACCCAAGGGGAGATATTCAATATCTGAATGGGTTTTGGGATTGGTCTCAACGAATTTACCGCAAGTTATTAGATAAGGGTTTCAACGAACTTGCTTATGCTATGCAAGCAGCTTCTTTTGACTACTCTCGACCAAACAGTATATATCGCGCCCTTTGTGAAGTTTGGTGTCCACCGACGAATACATTTGTTACGGGAGCAGGAGAAATTGGAATCTCACTTTGGGAAATACGACACGTCACCGGTCTTTCAATCCGTGGTGAATATTTTGAAGAAGTTATCCCAAGCTTGACTGAATTGAGAGACTCTGATACTAGTGTTCTTCCTGTGACTTGTCCGCACTTGTTTAAGGCTTTTGTCTTAATTAATAAGAAGAAAGGAGATAATCGCCCCCATCATTTAGATTGGCTTGATTTTTGGTTCAAGAATGGTGCACGTGCTCCGGATCCTATGAAGACAAAGGTCAATGGTGATGATCCCTTCATTCTTTTAGATCTTGACCTTGATGTCACAACACGTGAAGACTTGGAGATTGCAGCTTATTTAACTTTATGGCTATGTCGCTTTGTATTTCCTTCATCGGATGATGTTATTTGTCCAACTATCTTCAAGACTGCCTCCCGAATGGCTGCTGGAGTCACATATAGCTTGGTTGCCCCTATTGTTGCAAGCATTTACAGAAGTTTATCTAAGACATGTAGCACCCGATATGATCAAAAAAACCTCAGAATGACTTCTTATGCTTTTCCAGGTCATTACTTTTATGCTTGGGCAGCATTGCATTTCCCTTAGAGAGTTTATGTTGAGGCTGATGAGGAGCTTGATCGTCCTTTGCTTCGACAATTCAAAGGTACACTGAATGCTTATCTTTTTTATGAGAAAGAAGCAAAAGGATTTCGAGATCTTCTGCAAGGAAGTATGAGTTCTAGTGATTTTTGCTGGCAACCAGTTTCGTATTCTGGAAATCGAGGACCTCATCGTGATGATGGACAAAGATCAGATGAAACCTCTGAATTAATGACAAGTATGCGAGGTGGACACGCCATGTATCATCGTGGGCTAGTTTGCATTCTTGAGATGTATAACCCACATTGCTTTGCTAGGCAGCATGGATTTAATCAAAGATTATCAGGTACTCCCTCACATCCATCAATAATTTCATTTGATGCCCCTTTTTTTTATATCGAGCGTGGTTGAGTTTAACCAAGATAAACAGTGGGGCAGGATTCCATGTCCTTAATAATTGCGCTTGCATTGAGAATCTATGTGACGGTAGTTATAACAACTGGTGGAAATATGATGTACTTCCACACCTAGATGACATCAATTATAAAACCTTATTAGCTAGTGAATCTGAGAATTTCAAATTCAAAGCTCAAACTGATGGGTCAGGGAAGAGGAAATCCCTTCCTACAGTAGCTAAAGCTCATTCACGTCTTCGAAAACGAGACACTTTAAAGGATTGTTTGAATTCTCAAGAACAACCAGCTCTGAAGATGTTAAAGGTCACAACACCTGTTTCAAGATCAGCTAATGTTCGATCTGTTCATCCTTTAAACATCCCAGAGTCTGCTGAAATGAGTTAGTCAAATGAATCTGATCATTCACTCCTTTCATCCCGCATCTCTAAGGGTATTTTCAAGAAGCAGGATATAGGCTTGAATCATGGAAGGATTCCAAGCACAATTGTACTAGTTGATAATCTTGGTTCTATTAAGCAGGTAATTCAAGAGAGGTGCCCAACAGGAGCTACAGAAGCTGAGCATAATTTGGCTTGTACTTGGACAGAAAATTGTGCAAATCATACTACAATAAAGTCTCCCACAAGTAGGGTTGACCCATCTTGTGATGCTCTGAATGACTTATCAACTTTTTTAGAATTATCTTCGCGATCCAGCAATAAAGGTATTTGCGAAATTTCATTACTATTATCATTTTTTTTATATATATTTCAAACCTCTTATCCCTTTTTTCTTTTTCTTTTTTTTGGGTTAAGTCATACATAGTGTTAACTCATACGAGCCAGGAATAAAAAAGTTTTGTTTCTTTTGTTAAGTTGTACACAGTTTTAACTCATGCGGGCCTGGAGTAAAAAAAGTTTTTTTTTGTTAAGCTAGGTAAATTTTTTTTTTAAGTCGTACATAGTTTTAACTCTTGCGGGTCAGGAGTAACATGCAGTTTAAGCTCGTGCATAAAGGAGCACATGGACTTTTATTTTTTGTCAAGTCATACACAGTTTTAGCTCATGCGGGCTAGGAGCAACAAGGTTTTTTTTTTAGGTTGGCGCCGTACACAGTTTTAACTCATGCAGGCCGGAAGTAACATGCAGTTTAAACTCGAGCGTAAATGAGTGTTGCTTGTTTTTAGGCGTAGAAGCACTTTAAGAATTTTTCATTGATTGGGTCAACCCTCAAGCCATCTTTGTCAAAAATCTTGTATGCGCCGTTGGTGTAGACTTCTTTCACCACATAGAGACCATCCCATTTTGGCATGAATTTTCCACCGGTGCGAAGCGGAATGACAATGGGTATTCGAATTGAAAGGACCAAATCTCCTATTTGGAATGATCAGACACGAACCCTCTTATTGAAGGCTTTGGAAAGTCTAGCTTGATAACATTCTAGGTTTTGTTGTGCATCTAATCTCTTCTCGTCAAGTGCTTCAAGTTCATCTAGGCGTAAATGAACATTTTCTTCATTTGTGAGTTCTTCTTGCAGGGCGATCCGTAAGGAGGGAATTTGATGTTCCAAAGGAAGAACAGCTTCAACGCCCTACACAAGGGAATATGGAGTAGCTTGTGTTAGAGTTCGGTATGTTGTTTGATATGCCCTGAGAGCTTCACCAACCCTTTCATGTCAATCCTTCTTTGATTTGGAGGCAAATTTCTTCAACAAGTTACACAAGGTTTTATTGAATGCTTCTGCGAATCCATTGGCTGGTGCGTTGTACATAAATGAATTATGTTGTACAAACTCAAATTTGATGCAGAGCTTGACCATGAGGCTATTGACAAATAATTTTCCATTATCGGTGATATTGTAACGAGGTACACCATACCGATATATAATATTTGTTCGAATAAAGTCGACAATATTTTCTTTTTCACTTCTTTAAGAGGAACTGTTTCCGCCCACTTGGAGAAATAATCGGTTGCTGCTAAGATGTAAAGATGTCCTGCTGACGATTTTGGAGTCAAAGATCCTACGACATCAAGTCCCCATGCATCAAAAGGTCATGATGCGACTGTAGGATGCAATAGTTCAGGTGGCTGGTGAATGAAGTTGGCATAGAATTGACAAGCATGAAATTTCTTAGCGTAACTCATCGAGTCTTGTACCATAATGGGCTAGTAATACCCCATTCTCTTTATGCGAAATTGTAATTTAGGCCCTGATTGATGAGCATCACAAATTCCAGAATTAGCTTCTTTGAGTGCTTGAGCAGCTTCATCTTCATCCAAACATCGCAGAAAAATACCATCAAATGAACGACGATAAAGGATGCATTTATAATAAATAAATCGAGGAGCTCTTCGTTGTATCTCGGTTCTATGACGTGGATCATTTGGTAATTTTTCATACTGCAAATAATCAATCAAAGCTTACCTCCAATCTTCATTTTCAACTTGTACTACTGAAATGGTAGTAACTTCCTCCATTTTAGGGAGTAACAGAGGTATTACCCATGTTTGACAAACTGGAACTGAAATTATTTGGTAATAGGATTTTGTAAGCACGACGGCAAGATTGGCAAGAGCATCGGCATATCTATTTTCACCGTGTGGTACGTTTTCAATGGTGACTCGATCAAACTAACTCATAAGTTGAGTTACATAGCGACAATATGGAATCAAATCTAGTTTGCGAACATCATACAACTCCAAAACTTGATGAACCACCAGTTACGAGTCTCCATAGATTTCCAACTGAGAGAGTTGTATATCAAGTGTCATTTCTAAGCCAATGGTCAAAGCTTGGTACTCCACCATATTATTAGAGTAAGACTCTAACAAGGTAATTGTGTAAGGCAATACTTCGTCTTCAGGGGTAATGAAGACCACACCTGCACCAGCTCCATACCTTCGAGCAGCACTATCAAAGTATAACTTCCAAGACGGTTTGAAGTTAGTGAAAAAAATTTCTTCATCTGGCAATTCTTCTGATAGCTCCCAGTCTGCAGGGATCGGGTGATTTGCAAGAAAATCAGCTAATGCTTGTCCTTTGACTGTTCTTTGTGGAACATAAACTATATCATATTCAGATAATAGAAGTGCCCACTTTGCCAACCTTTCCGAGAGAACTGGTCTTGACATAATGTACTCGACAGGATCAGATTTTGAAATGAAATGAACAACATGAGTCAGCATATAATGCCTCAACTTCTTTGTAGCGAAGACTAATGCAAGGCACATCTTTTCAATAGGTGAGTAGTTTAGTTTTGCACCTAATAATGTCCGACTCATATAGTATAATGCGTTTTCATTTCCCTCGTCATTAACTTATGCTAAGAGTGCTTCTAATGACTGTTCTTGGGCAGTAATATAAAGGATCAATGGTTCTCCTTGAATTGGTGCTGTGAGGACCGGGGGATGAATGAGATATTATTTTTTATTTTCGAAAGCATTATGACAGGCATCATCTCATTCAAAAGGAACACCTTTCTTCATTAGTTTATTGAATGGATGACAACATCCGGCAAGGTTCGAGATAAATCTTCGTTTATAGGCAAGTCTTCCTTGAAGACTTTTTAGGTCATGCAGATTGCGAGGCTCTGGCATCTTTAGGATAGCCTCTATTTTTTATTGATCAATCTCTATGTCTGACAATAAATCCAAGGAACTTGCCAAAGGTAATCCCAAAGGCACACTTTAAGGGATTCATTTTTAGTTGATATCTCTGAAGTCATTCAAAAATGATGCGCAAATCATCAAGATGATCTTCACGTCTTTTTGTATTTACGACCAGGTCATCAACATAACATTCAACATTTTTGTGTAATACATCATCAAAAATCTTTTGCATTGTACATTGATATGTGGCACCAGCATTCTTGAGTCCGAAAAGCATCACTCTGTAGTAGTAAATTTCCTTGGGGGTTCGAAATACAGTGAGTTCTTCATCCTTAGGGTCCATTCGAATTTGATTGTATACAAAGGAACCATCCATGAAAGATAAGACCTCATGTCCCATAGTCGCATCAACCATGAGTTCTGTAATCGGCAATGGAAAGTCATCTTTCGGACATACTTGATTTAAATCTCTGAAATCAACACAAACTCGAATTTGTCCATTTTTCTTTCTAACAGGTACACTATTAGCAATCCATGTTGGATATTTGACTTCTCGAATGAATCCAGCGTCTATCAACTTATTGACTTCAGCTTCGATTTGCAAGACTAATTCTGGACGAAATCTTAATGGGTCGAACTCTGTGTTTAACAGCAAGATGATGAACTGCAACTTTGGGATCAAGCCCTGACATTTCTTTGTATGACCATGCAAAAACATCTTTATACTCCTGTAATAGTTTAAAGTACTCACCTTCCTCTTGAGGTTTTAGAAGAGCACTAATGAATATTGGTCTTGGATCATCTTCAATATTCTCAACCATATCTTGCCCCCATCCTTCACAGGTGATCAAAGTTTGGTTGGATTCATCTGTTGAGGATAATTCTTCAATGTCAAATTCTTCCACTATTGTTTGCACAATGGTGACATAGTTCACTAAGACGGATTATTCTTCGATGCTTTTGGTATGCACCATTTTTTGTCTTTTCTTATTTCTTGCAAGCAAGTCTTGGGTAGTTATAGGATTATTGAGATTAACAGTGCCTTCCTCAGCTACAACTGCAAGCTTTGGTATCTGATGTTTGCGTCGTCTCCATTGTTTCTTGTCTTGCTTAGAAAAGTTTGGTACATTCTGGTCAATAGATTGTCGCAGACGAGTGAACACCGAAACTTTTTGTGAAGATTTCGAAACTTGTCATGATAATATTATCATGACACCGAAACTTGTCATGATAATATTTGAAACATTGGTGCAATGTTGATGACACAACTCCTATCTTATGTAACCAAGGTCGCCCCAATAGTAACTCATAAGATGTTTTGGAGTCAATAACATGGAAAAGAGCAAAAGACCCTAATTCTCCGATCTCCATCTTAAGGCGAATCATACCAATGGCACGTTGCCCCCGTTAATTAAAGCCTTGAATTGTTAGTTTACTTTTGACAACTCTTCCATAGAGATTCCAAGTTGCTTCATGATGCGAATTGGCATGATGTTGACATCCGATCCACAATCGATCAAGATACGAGATATTTTATAATCTCGAATAAACCCTTAAACCCTCTCAAGTAAAGGGGTCTATTGTGGAGGAGAGATCCTAACTGCAAATCTTCATCAATGAACGAAGTCGTTATCATGCAATCGGATTGACTAACTTGATCAGCAACAGTTAAGATCTTCTTTTTTGAATTTTTTTGGGTTGACCAAAGCTTGTACCAACATTTGTCGGGTTTCTTTGGGTAATTCAAGTGCCTCAGGAAGACTTAGGTTTGATGGAATTTCTCTGAACCTTTCAATC